TCGGTTTATGTATGGAAAGATAGAAATAAAATTACCACAATTTTGGTTCCTGACTCAAGTTTCATTTGTATGAAGTTTTTCTTTTTTTTTTTCGGTCAAAAGAAACGTGAATACTTCTTTGAATTTGAAAGGTTAAATTGGTTGCGTGAAAGAAGAAAAACTCAAAGTTGAAATAGTCAAGACAGGGTTCTTTTATCCCCTTTCACTTTTCATGATAAATTGGATAAACTCATAAAAAATAAAACAAAAATAGCATTGAAGTCGATTTTTATTGACAATGCGAATTGTCTCCTAGGGTCTATAATTTCCTCAAAAGGTCCAATATCTATACATTATTCGACCTTTGTTTTTCTTCTACGCGAATACAATATTGAGATTTTTTGTGCGCTAATCCTGCTCCTAAACTTGCTATTGTTGTCCATTCTTCTTTCTTTCTTTGCTGTGCTTTTGCTCCTACCCTGTCAGCCAAGGTCTTTATTAGGTTTTTTTTAACACCACCCCAGTAGGGTCGGGGTTAAGGCCGAAACCCAAACCTGTATATAAAATGCCCTAAATGGGCCGAAAAGTCACAAAACTACAAGTCCAATATCTGATATACATCCAGTCAAACAAAAAATCAAAAAAAATAACAAAGAAAAGAAGAAATACATTTATGTTGAAAAAAAATAAAAAAATCCATATATAAATACTATGTTAACTGTAGATTTTATGGGGCAAAGTTGAAAAAAAAATAAAAAAATTTTGAAAGAAAATTACATTTATCCTCTTTGAAATTTGAAGATTTCACAAGCGCAAAAAAATCCATATATAAATACTATGTTAACTGTAGACTTTATGGGGCAAAGTTGAAAGAAAAAATAAAAAATCTTTGAAAGAAAATTACATTTACTCTCTTTGAAATTTGAAGATTTCACAAGCGCACACATATTTTTGTGCAATTTTTCCCTTTCTCGTGTTGATTTATTTGTTCATACCTTAGGATGGATATCCTTTAATCATCACATAGAAAAACAGAGGTTGAAATCAATGCCTTGCAGCTGGTTATTTTCCATACAAGTATTGATTAATAATTATAACTTAAGATTCCTTTCAATTACATATGAAAACAGAGTTGAAATCAATGTATGAGGCTGCTTTTTTCCATTAACGTGATGATTAATAATTATCACCTAGGGATACCCTTTGATCACATAGGAAACAGAAAAATTGACATCAAAGTCTTGAGACTGCTCTTTTCATGAATGTAAAATATATTAATCCTTAGAATTCATATATAAATAACCACAAGTCACAAATCTCTTATATTCAAGGAGATTATGATGCTCTAGGAACATGATTGCTTGAAGATACTAAGATCAGCACAAAATCTTCTCAAAACTCTATTTCGATCTTGCTTTTGACACAACTTAATTTACACGATAAACGCGTAAACTACACCATTGTAAGAGAAGTGGAAGCCTATAACTTCAACTAAAAAGACCTGAAAGTTAAGGAGCCATGAAAGCTAGTGCTCATATTCTGGCTCTTTATTTTCGCTCGCTTGTTTTGGTACTCTTGCTCGGCCACGTATTTTCCGTCAAGAAGGTAAACATATCTGCAGCCTCACTGACACCAATTTATTTTGATCAACAATTTTTTTTTCACACGTTTTACGAACTGATGTTATTTTCCTTGATGTTAATTTACTAATGCATATCTGCAGCCACTACATCCCTTTTTTTTTTTTTTNTTTTTAACCAATTTATCTGCAGCCTAGCTCACTGACAGCCTAATTTTCCTTGATGTTATTTCTTTTAATTTTTCTTGATCCCGTTGTATAGTCATATGTGGTGTACTTGGGAGGTCATTCACATGGAAAAGAAGCCACACAAGCAGATTATGATAGAGTCACTCAGTCTCATTATGACTTTCTAGGGTCATTCTTGGGAAGGTACATAAGTGAAGTTTGTGCAGAAATCATGAAGATAAAAATGGAGTTTTGTAGTTCAAATTTCTCATTTCTTGATAAAAAAATTGATCCATTACTATATTCATTCTTTTTGTACAGTAAGGACAAGGCCAAAGCTGCCATTTTTTACTCTTACACTCGACACATCAATGGATTTGCTGCAACTCTCGAAGAAAATGAAGCACTTCAAATATCCTGTGAGTGGTTTTATCTAATCACATTTTATTTAACAGACTTGGTTCTATTAACTATGTTCAATGTCTCACATGAACATTCTCAGATCATCCAAACGTTATATCCGTATTCTTGAATANTAATCACATTTTTTTTAACAGACTTGGTTCTATTAACTATGTTCAATGTCTCCCATGAACATTCTCAGATCATCCAAACGTTATATCCATATTCCTGAATAGAGGAAGAAAGTTACAAACCACGAGGTCGTGGAGTTTTCTCGGTCTCGAAAACGACGACGGAGAAATTCCTGCCTACTCTTTATGGAATAAGTCCAGATTGGGTGAAGATGTCATCATCGCCAACGGGTTTGTTTTCTTATAACCTCTCCAAAGTATCATTTACACTTTGATATGCATATGCTTATTATTTCTTGTTATATGCAAGGGACTACATTTGCATATATATGATCATAAGTATTGTTTGTTTGAACCAGACGTGTGGCCAGAATCGAAAAGCTTTAGCGACGAAGGAATAAATGGTCCGATTCCATCAAAGTGGAAAGGAATATGCCAAAATCTATTTGATCACAGCTTTCAATGCAACAGGTTGTGTGTGTGTGTGTATATATATATATCAATTTTATTTCATTTCTCTCACCTTCAAAGGCTCACCATAGAGAAGTTTATAGGAAAAATAAAAGATGGACAGAGGCCTATGAGAATAGATTACTCTTGAAACAAATTTATTCAAGCATATATATATGTGTTGATTTTTCGATGCATGAAGGAAATTGATCGGTGCCCGCTACTTCTACAATGGGTACGTCGCGGACGGGGGAACCTCAACTCAAGCGACTACACGCCGCGCGACAATGATGGCCACGGGAGCCACACCCTGTCGACAGCTGGCGGCAACTTTGTTCCTGGGGCCAACGTCTTCGGCTACGGCAATGGCACCGCCAAGGGTGGGTCCCCCATGGCCCGCGTGGCAGCCTACAAGGTCTGCTGGCCCGTCATAGAAGAAGGAGAGTGCTTTGATGCTGACATCATTGCGGGCTTCGACATGGCAATCCACGATGGGGTTGACGTGATCTCGGCTTCTCTAGGTGGTTCCGGTGGCCAATTTTTTGTAGACGGTGTTGCCATTGGGTCGTTTCACGCAGTGAGTCATGGGATTGTGGTCGTTTGCTCAGCAGGAAATTCGGGGCCAGACCCCGGTACAGTTTCAAATAATGCACCTTGGCCCATCACGGTTGCTGCAAGCACCATGGATCGAACATTTCCTAGCTATTTAATATTAGGGAACAAGAAATACGAGGTATGTGTGTATCTTCTGTTTCTCCCTTAAGTTGATGTGTAATTCTTCATTGAACAATTGAAAGTTGAATAAGAAAATAGACATTTGTGTGATGAAGTAGTTGTTGATGCGCAGGGACAAAGCCTTTCAATAAAATATCTTCCAGAGGGAAAGTTGTTCACCATAATTTATGCCAAATATGCAAATGCCACTAACGCAACAGCGGAACAAGCGTAATTTTTTTTCTTCCTTTGAGGAACATGATTTTACTCGCCTAATTTTGAAAAAGTTGAAATATGAAAAAACTATGGGATGAAATGCAGGGAGTTGTGTGAACCTAATTCTCTGGATGCTAATAAGGTGAGAGGGAAGATCTTGGTTTGTCTAAGGGGAATCACTGCAAGGGTCGACAAGGGCAGGCAAGCCGCCTTAGCTGGTGCTGTGGGAATGGTTTTAGCAAACGATGAGGCCTTTGGGAATGACATCAAAGCCGAAGCTCATGTCTTGCCAGCTACACATATCAGTTACAAAGATGGAGTTGCTCTCTTAACTCAAATGAATAAAACAAGGTGAACAAAATCACATATATAGCTATCTTTCATCACATGCTTCTGTAAAATGACATTGTTAAAAATATTTCAGGCTATGCAGGTCTCCCAAGGCCCGTATCACCAAACCAATAACTCTTTTAGACACAACACCAGCGCCAGTAATGGCAGCTTTTTCATCGCAAGGGCCAAATCCCGTTATGCCGGAAATTCTCAAGGTTTTGAGTAATACTGAACCTTGTAAATTGTTGTTTAATTAATTTAGTTATATTTTATGTCTTAATTACAATTTCTTGTTCTCAGCCGGATATCACGGCACCAGGAGTTAGTATCATAGCCGCATATACTGGAGCGGTTGGACCGACAGGCCAAGACTTTGACAAGCGACGTGTGCCCTTCAATTCTATTTCGGGTACTTCAATGTCTTGCCCACACGTTGCTGGGGTCGTCAGCCTTTTGAAGAAGCTCTACCCAAAATCGAGCCCGGCTGCCATTAAGTCTGCCATCATGACCACTGGTGATTTTACTTAAGTCATCAATCATCAGTGCACAAACATGGATGCATATGATATGAATAATTCGAAATAAATCACAAGGATAATCATTTATTGTGTATCATGTTTCTTTTTTTATTTTTATTTTTTAATTTGTTTATTTCAGCAAGTACAATCGACAACACTTGGAACCCAATCACCAATAACAGCAACGCGAAAGCTACGCCGTTAAATTACGGAGGAGGACACATTGATCCGAACCGGGCAATGGACCCTGGACTCGTTTACGATTTACAAACAACAGATTACCTCGACTTGTTATGTGCACTCGGTTATAACCAAACGCAGATTAAGTTGTTCTAGAAAAAATCAATCACTTGTCGCAAGCCGAATATTAGACTCATCGACTTCAACTACCCCTTGCTCACAGTTCCCTTCTTCAATGGCCCAGTCACCGTGACAAGGAAGGTAAAAAATGTAGGTGCACCGGGCACTTACAAAGCCTTTTGTAGCCCGGATGGAATATCAGTAAAAGTCGAGCCGGATGAGCTGGAATTTAATTTTGTTGGGGAGGAGAAAGGATTCAACATTACAATACAGCCTAAAAAATATGGTGGTAGCAAAGATTATGTATTTGGGGAGCTGACATGGTCTGACGGTCATCATAAGGTGATGAGTAAAATTGTTGTTAAGCAGATATAGAAGAAAATCAGCTTTTCTGGAGTTCGGAGTCCACACAAGGCGTGTTCTCAAACATGTCAATTGACTATCTCATTCTATCTATTAGATTTTCTTTTTCTTTTTTCATTTTCATATCACGAATGGTAGCGTCTACAAAAGCAGAAAAAGTGTTGGCGCGCTGAATGTTTTTCCTTTTCAAAATAATTTAATACTACATATTAGTCATTTTCAATACCATCTTATTTGTTCGAACGAACGAATACACTGTGTCGGGTGTTGATATGCATGTAGATTAAAATTTGGGGGAGTAAAAATGCGTTTTTACAAATAATCTCAGTTAATAAAATTTGCAGAAGCTAATCGAAAATGAACTATCAAGATAGCATCCCACTCTCTCTTATCAAAATTCTTTCATTAAATAAGTCTATGATTCAAGAGTTCCGTAAAAAGCATAAAATTTTAAATTGTTATATGCTGCTGGAGTTATGCCAGTTATTTTAATCCAAAAACCAAAACATTTTAAATTGTTATATGCTGGAATTATGCTAGTTATTTTAATCCAAATTAGGCCTATTAGGTCCATGTATAAAGCTTTTGGTTTGAATTTGAGGCATACAAGTTTGCCTGCGTTGTGAATTGTGATATATTTGGTTTAATATAAAATAGTATGATTTGCTCTGCGTTTGGCTTTACGGACTGATTCTACTTTGTAAATTCTAAATTTTCATTAGCCCTGGTAATTTATTGTTTTTTTTTTCATTTTCTTAAACTTTTCCAAATATAATTAAAATATTTTCGTGCCATTCCATTTTAGTTATTCCTCAAACTTCTTGAGATTAAGCTCTAGTTTGTTTAGTCTGACTTTAAAATTTCAAGTGAAAATTGCTTGAGCTTTGAATCATTTTTTTGCCTTTTAGTCTGACTTAGCTCTGTAGAGGGGGGAAGTTGTAGAGACCTTTCCATATTTTGTATCTGGAGTCCTTCATTTAATTTCCTCTGCAGTGCTGGGCTTTGGTGGGGCTTTGGTGGTATTTATCATGCACTTCTGGGACCCGAGGCGTTGGAAGGATCTTTTCCGTTCTTCGGTTTATGTATGGAACGATAGAAATAAAATTACCACAATTTTGGTTCCTGAGTCAAGTTTCATTTGTATGAAGTTTTTCTTTTTTTCTTTCGGTCAAAAGAAACGTGAATACTTCTTTGAATTTGAAAGGTTAAATTGGTTGCGTGAAAGAAGAAAAACTCAAAGTTGAAATAGTCAAGACAGGGTTCTTTTATCCCCTTTCACTTTTCATGATAAATTGGATAAACTTATAAAAAATAAAACAAAAATAGCATTGAAGTCGATTTTTATTGATCAATGTGAATTGTCTCCTAGGGTCTATAATTACCTCAAAAGGTCCAATATCTATACATTATTCGACCTTTGTTTTTCTTCTACGCGAATAGAATATTGAGATTTTTTGTGCGCTAATCCTGCTCCTAAACGTGCTATTGTTGTCCAATCTTCTTCCTTTCTTTACTGTGCTTCTGCTCCTACCCTGTCAGCCAAAGTCTTTATTAGGTTTTTTTTTAACACCACCCCAGTAGGGTCGGGGTTAAGGCCGAAACTCAAACCTGTATATAAAATGCCCTAAATGGGCCGAAAAGTCACAAAACTACAAGTCCAATATTTGATATACATCCAGTCAAACAAAAAATCAAAAAAAATAACAAAGAAAAGAAGAAATACATTTATGTTGAAAAAAAATAAAAAATCCATATATAAATACTATGTTAACTGTAGATTTTATGGGGCAAAGTTGAAAAAAAAATAAAAAATTTTTGAAAGAAAATTACATTTATCCTCTTTGAAACTTTGAAGATTTCACAAGCGCAAAAAAATCCATATATAAATACTATGTTAACTGTAGACTTTATGGGCCAAAGTTGAAAGAAAAAATAAAAAATCTTTGAAAGAAAATTACATTTATTCTCTTTGAAATTTGAAGATTTCACAAGCGCACACATATTTTTGTGCAATTTTTCCCTTTCTCGTGTTGTTTTATTTGTTCATACCTTAGGATGGATATCATTTAATCATCACATAAGAAAACAGAGGTTGAAATCAATGCCCTGCAGCTGGTTATTTTCCATACTCGTATTGATTAATAATTATAACTTGAGATACCTTTCAATTACATTTGAAAACAGAGTTGAAATCAATGTATGAGGCTGCTTTTTTTTCCATTAGCGTGATGATTAATAATTATCACCTAGGGATACTCTTTGATCACATAGGAAACAGAAAAATTGACATCAAAGTCTTGAGACTGCTATTTTCATGCATGTAAAATATATTAATCCTTAGAATTCATATATAAATAACCACAAGTCACAAATCTCTGATATTCAAGGAGATTATGATGCTCTAGGATCATGATTGCTTGAAGATATTAAGATCAGCACAAAATCTTCTCAAAACTCTATTTCGATCTTGCTTTTGACACAACTTAATTTACACGATAAACGCGTAAACTACACCATTGTAAGAAAAGTGGAAGCCTATAACTTCAACTAAAAAGACCTGAAAGTTAAGGAGCCATGAAAGCTAGTACTCATATTCCCGCTCTTTATCTTCGCTCGCTTGTTTTGGTACTCTTGATCGGCCACGTATTTTCCGTCAAGAAGGTAAACATATCTGAAGCCTCACTGAAACCAATTTATTTTGATCAACAATTTTTTTATACGTTTTACAAACTGATGTTATTTTCCTTGATGTTAGTTTACCAATGCATATCTGCAGCCTAGCTCAGCCTAATTTTCCTTGATGTTATTTCTTTTAATTTTTCTTGGTCCCGTTGTATAGTCATATGTGGTGTACTTGGGAGGTCATTCACATGGAAAAGAAGCCACACAAGCTGATTATGATAGAGTCACCCAGTCTCATTATGACTTTCTAGGGTCATTCTTGGGCAGGTACGTAAGTGAAGTTTGTGCAGAAATCATGAAGATAAAAATGGAGTTTTGTAGTTCAAATTTCTCATTTTCTTGATGAAAAAATTGATCCATTACTATATTCATTCTTTTTGTACAGTAGAGACAAGGCCAAAGCTGCCATTTTTTACTCTTACACTCGACACATCAATGGATTTGCTGCAACTCTCGAAGAAAATGAAGCACTTCAAATATCCAGTGAGTGGTTTTATCTAATCACATTTTTTTTAACAGACTTGGTTCTATTAACTATGTTCAATGTCTCACATGAACATTCTCAGATCATCCAAACGTTATATCCGTATTCTTGAATAGAGGAAGAAAGTTACAAACCACGAGGTCGTGGAGTTTTCTCGGTCTCGAAAACGACGACGGAGAAATTCCTGCCTACTCTTTATGGAATAAGTCCAGATTGGGTGAAGATGTCATCATCGCCAATCTTGACTCGGGTTTGTTTTCTTATAACCTCTCCAAAGTATCATTTACACTTTGATATGCATATGCTTATTATTTCTGTGTTATATGCAAGGGACTACATTTGCATATATATGATCATAAGTATTGTTTGTTTGAACCAGGCGTGTGGCCAGAATCGAAAAGCTTTAGCGACGAAGGAATAAATGGTCCGATTCCATCAAAGTGGAAAGGAATATGCCAAAATTTATTTGATCACAGCTTTCTATGCAACAGGTTGTGTGTGTGTGTGTATATATATATATCAATTTTATTTCATTTCTCTCACCTTCAAAGGCTCACCATAGAGAAGTTTATAGGAAAAATAAAAGATGGACAGAGGCCTATGAGAACACATTACTCTTGAAACAAATTTATTCAAGCATATATATATGTGTTGATTTTTCGATGCATGAAGGAAATTGATCGGTGCCCGCTACTTCTACAATGGGTACGTCGCGATCGGGGGACACCTCAACTCAAGCCACTACACGCCGCGCGACAATGTTGGCCACGGGAGCCACACCCTGTCGACAGCTGGCGGCAACTTTGTTCCTGGGGCCAACGTCTTCGGCTACGGCAACGGCACTGCCAAGGGTGGGTCCCCCATGGCCCGCGTGGCTGCCTACAAGGTCTGCTGGCCCACCATAGAAGAAGGAGAGTGCTTTGATGCTGACATCATTGCGGGCTTCGACATGGCAATCCACGATGGGGTTGACGTGATCTCGGTTTCTCTAGGTGGTGCCGGTGGCCAATTTTTTGAAGACGGTGTTGCCATTGGGTCGTTTCATGCAGTGAGTTGTGGGATTGTGGTCGTTTGCTCTGCAGGAAATTCGGGGCCAGACCCGGGTACGGTTTCAAACAATGCACCTTGGCCGATCACGGTTGGTGCAAGCACCATGGATCGAACATTTCCTAGCTATTTAACATTAGGGAACAAGAAATATGAGGTATATGTGTATCTTCTGTTTCTCCCTTAAGTTGATGTGTAATTCTTCATTGAACACTTGAAAGTTGAATAAGAAAATAGACATTTGTGTGATGAAGTAGTTGTTGATGCGCAGGGACAAAGCCTTTCAAACAAATTTCTTCCAGAGGGAAAGTTGTTCACCATAATTTATGCCAAATATGCAAATGTCACTAACGCAACAGCGGAAGAAGCGTAATTTTTTTTTCCATTTGAGAAACATGATTTTACTCGCCTAATTTTGAAAAAGTTGAAATATGAATGAACTATGGGATGAAATGCAGGGAGTTGTGTGAACCTAATTCTCTGGATGCTAATAAGGTGAGAGGGAAGATCTTGGTTTGTCTAAGGGGAATCACTGCCAGGGTCGACAAGGGCAGGCAAGCCGCCTTAGCTGGTGCTGTGGGAATGGTTTTAGCAAACAATGAGGCCTCTGGGAATGATATCGAAGCCGATGCTCATGTCTTGCCAGCTACACATATCAGTTACAAAGATGGAGTTGCTCTCTTAACTCAAATGAATAAAACAAGGTGAACAAAAATCACATATATAGCTATATTTCACCACCAGCTTCCGTAAAATGACATTGTTGAAAATATGATGGCAAAGCAGGTGTCCCATGGCTCGTATCACCAATCCAATAACTCTTTTAGACACAAAGCCAGCGCCAGTAATGGCAGCTTTTTCATCGCAAGGGCCGAATCCCATTATGCCGGAAATTCTCAAGGTTTTGAGTAATACTGATCCTTGTAAATTCTTGTTTAATTAATTTAGTTATATTTCACGTCTTAATTACAATTTCTTGTTCTCAGCCGGATATCACGGCACCAGGAGTTAGTATCATAGCCGCATATAGCGGAGCGAATGGGCCGGCAGACGAAGACTTTGACACCCGACGTGTGCAGTTCAATTCTATATCGGGTACTTCAATGTCTTGCCCACACGTTGCTGGGGTCGTCGCCCTTTTGAAGAAGCTCTACCCAAAATGGAGCCCGGCTGCCATTAAGTCTGCCATCATGACCACTGGTGATTTTACCTACATTAATTAAGTCACCAATCATCAGTGCACAAACATGGATGCATATGATATGAATAATTCGAAATAAATCACAAGGATAATCATTTATTGTGTATCGTGTTTTTTTTTCTTTTTTTTTTTTAATTTGTTTATTTCAGCAAGTACAATCGACAACACTTGGAACCCAATCACCAATAACAGCAACGCGAAAGCTACGCCGTTCAATTACGGAGGAGGACACATTGATCCGAACCGGGCAATGGACCCTGGACTCATTTACGATTTACAAACAACAGATTACCTCAACTTCTTATGTGCACTCGGTTATAATCAAACCCAGATTAAGTTGTTCTGGAAAAAATCAATCACTTGTCGCAAGCCGAATATTAGACTCATCGACTTCAACTACCCCTCGCTCACAGTTCCCTTCTTCAATGGCCCAGTCACCGTGACAAGGAAGGTAAAAAATGTAGGTGCACCGGGCACTTACAAAGCCTCTGTTTGTAGCCCAGATGGAATATCAGTAAAAGTCGAGCCGGATGAGCTGGAATTTAATTTTGTTGGGGAGGAGAAAGGATTCAACATTACAATACAGCCTAAAAAATATGGTGGTAGCAAAGATTATGTATTTGGGGAGCTGACATGGTCTGACGGTCATCATAAGGTGACGAGCCAAATTGTTGTTAAGCCGATATAGAAGAAAATCAGCTTTTCTGGAGTTTGGAGTCCACACAAGGCGTGTTCTCAAACATGTCAATTGACTATCTCATTCTATCTATTAGATTTTCTTTTTCTTTTTTCATTTTCATATCACGAATGGTAGCGTCTACAAAAGCAGAAAAAGTGTTGGCGCGCTGAATGTTTTTCCTTTTCAAAATAATTTAATACTACATATTAGTCATTTTCAATACCATCTTATTTGTTCGAACGAACGAATACACTGTGTCGGGTGTTGATATGCATGTAGATTAAAATTTGGGGGAGTAAAAATGCGTTTTTACAAATAATCTCAGTTAATAAAATTTGCAGAAGCTAATCGAAAATGAACTATCAAGATAGCATCCCACTCTCTCTTATCAGAATTCTTTCATTAAATAAGTCTATGATTCAAGAGTTCCGTAAAAAGCATAAAATTTTAAATTGTTATATGCTGCTGGAGTTATGCCAGTTATTTTAATCCAAAAACCAAAACATTTTAAATTGTTATATGCTGGAATTATGCTAGTTATTTTAATCCAAATTAGGCCTATTAGGTCCATGTATAAAGCTTTTGGTTTGAATTTGAGGCATACAAGTTTGCCTGCGTTGTGAATTGTGATATATTTGGTTTAATATAAAATAGTATGATTTGCTCTGCGTTTGGCTTTACGGACTGATTCTACTTTGTAAATTCTAAATTTTCATTAGCCCTGGTAATTTATTGTTTTTTTTTTCATTTTCTTAAACTTTTCCAAATATAATTTGAATATTTTCGTGCCATTCCATTTTAGTTATTCCTCAAACTTCTTGAGATTAAGCTCTAGTTTGTTTAGTCTGACTTTAAAATTTCAAGTGAAAATTGCTTGAGCTTTGAATCATTTTTTTGCCTTTTAGTCTGACTTAGCTCTGTAGAGGGGGGAAGTTGTAGAGACCTTTCCATATTTTGTATCTGGAGTCCTTCATTTAATTTCCTCTGCAGTGCTGGGCTTTGGTGGGGCTTTGGTGGTATTTATCATGCACTTCTGGGACCCGAGGCGTTGGAAGGATCTTTTCCGTTCTTCGGTTTATGTATGGAACGATAGAAATAAAATTACCACAATTTTGGTTCCTGAGTCAAGTTTCATTTGTATGAAGTTTTTCTTTTTTTCTTTCGGTCAAAAGAAACGTGAATACTTCTTTGAATTTGAAAGGTTAAATTGGTTGCGTGAAAGAAGAAAAACTCAAAGTTGAAATAGTCAAGACAGGGTTCTTTTATCCCCTTTCACTTTTCATGATAAATTGGATAAACTTATAAAAAATAAAACAAAAATAGCATTGAAGTCGATTTTTATTGATCAATGTGAATTGTCTCCTAGGGTCTATAATTACCTCAAAAGGTCCAATATCTATACATTATTCGACCTTTGTTTTTCTTCTACGCGAATAGAATATTGAGATTTTTTGTGCGCTAATCCTGCTCCTAAACGTGCTATTGTTGTCCAATCTTCTTCCTTTCTTTACTGTGCTTCTGCTCCTACCCTGTCAGCCAAAGTCTTTATTAGGTTTTTTTTTAACACCACCCCAGTAGGGTCGGGGTTAAGGCCGAAACTCAAACCTGTATATAAAATGCCCTAAATGGGCCGAAAAGTCACAAAACTACAAGTCCAATATTTGATATACATCCAGTCAAACAAAAAATCAAAAAAAATAACAAAGAAAAGAAGAAATACATTTATGTTGAAAAAAAATAAAAAATCCATATATAAATACTATGTTAACTGTAGATTTTATGGGGCAAAGTTGAAAAAAAAATAAAAAATTTTTGAAAGAAAATTACATTTATCCTCTTTGAAACTTTGAAGATTTCACAAGCGCAAAAAAATCCATATATAAATACTATGTTAACTGTAGACTTTATGGGCCAAAGTTGAAAGAAAAAATAAAAAATCTTTGAAAGAAAATTACATTTATTCTCTTTGAAATTTGAAGATTTCACAAGCGCACACATATTTTTGTGCAATTTTTCCCTTTCTCGTGTTGTTTTATTTGTTCATACCTTAGGATGGATATCATTTAATCATCACATAAGAAAACAGAGGTTGAAATCAATGCCCTGCAGCTGGTTATTTTCCATACTCGTATTGATTAATAATTATAACTTGAGATACCTTTCAATTACATTTGAAAACATAGTTGAAATCAATGTATGAGGCTGCTTTTTTTTCCATTAGCGTGATGATTAATAATTATCACCTAGGGATACTCTTTGATCACATAGGAAACAGAAAAATTGACATCAAAGTCTTGAGACTGCTCTTTTCATGCATGTAAAATATATTAATCCTTAGAATTCATATATAAATAACCACAAGTCACAAATCTCTGATATTCAAGGAGATTATGATGCTCTAGGATCATGATTGCTTGAAGATATTAAGATCAGCACAAAATCTTCTCAAAACTCTATTTCGATCTTGCTTTTGACACAACTTAATTTACACGATAAACGCGTAAACTACACCATTGTAAGAAAAGTGGAAGCCTATAACTTCAACTAAAAAGACCTGAAAGTTAAGGAGCCATGAAAGCTAGTACTCATATTCCCGCTCTTTATCTTCGCTCGCTTGTTTTGGTACTCTTGATCGGCCACGTATTTTCCGTCAAGAAGGTAAACATATCTGAAGCCTCACTGAAACCAATTTATTTTGATCAACAATTTTTTTATACGTTTTACAAACTGATGTTATTTTCCTTGATGTTAGTTTACCAATGCATATCTGCAGCCTAGCTCAGCCTAATTTTCCTTGATGTTATTTCTTTTAATTTTTCTTGGTCCCGTTGTATAGTCATATGTGGTGTACTTGGGAGGTCATTCACATGGAAAAGAAGCCACACAAGCTGATTATGATAGAGTCACCCAGTCTCATTATGACTTTCTAGGGTCATTCTTGGGCAGGTACGTAAGTGAAGTTTGTGCAGAAATCATGAAGATAAAAATGGAGTTTTGTAGTTCAAATTTCTCATTTTCTTGATGAAAAAATTGATCCATTACTATATTCATTCTTTTTGTACAGTAGAGACAAGGCCAAAGCTGCCATTTTTTACTCTTACACTCGACACATCAATGGATTTGCTGCAACTCTCGAAGAAAATGAAGCACTTCAAATATCCAGTGAGTGGTTTTATCTAATCACATTTTTTTTAACAGACTTGGTTCTATTAACTATGTTCAATGTCTCACATGAACATTCTCAGATCATCCAAACGTTATATCCGTATTCTTGAATAGAGGAAGAAAGTTACAAACCACGAGGTCGTGGAGTTTTCTCGGTCTCGAAAACGACGACGGAGAAATTCCTGCCTACTCTTTATGGAATAAGTCCAGATTGGGTGAAGATGTCATCATCGTCAATCTTGACTCGGGTTTGTTTTCTTATAACCTCTCCAAAGTATCATTTACACTTTGATATGCATATGCTTATTATTTCTGTGTTATATGCAAGGGACTACATTTGCATATATATGATCATAAGTATTGTTTGTTTGAACCAGGCGTGTGGTCGAAAAGCTTTAGCGACGAAGGAATAAATGGTCCGATTCCATCAAAGTGGAAAGGAATATGCCAAAATCTATTTGATCACAGCTTTCTATGCAACAGGTTGTGTGTGTGTGTGTATATATATATATCAATTTTATTTCATTTCTCTCACCTTCAAAGGCTCACCATAGAGAAGTTTATAGGAAAAATAAAAGATGGACAGAGGCCTATGAGAACACATTACTCTTGAAACAAATTTATTCAAGCATATATATGTGTGTTGATTTTTCGATGCATGAAGGAAATTGATCGGTGCCCGCTACTTCTACAAGGGGTACGTCGCGCACGGGGGACACCTCAACTCAAGCGACTACACGCCGCGCGACTATGACGGCCATGGGACCCACACCCTGTCGACAGCTGGCGGCAACTTTGTTCCTCGGGCCAACGTCTTCGGCTACGGCAACGGAACCGCCAAGGGTGGGTCCCCCATGGCCCGCGTGGCAGCCTACAAGGTCTGCTGGCCCATCATTGATGATGGAGATTGCTTTGATGCTGACATCTTGGCGGGCTTCGACATGGCCATCAGCGATGGGGTCGACGTACTCTCAGTCTCCCTAGCTGGAGATGGCAGTATCGAGTATTTTATGGATGCCTCAATCATCGGGTCGTTTCACGCGGTGAGTAAAGGGATTGTGGTCGTCTTCTCGGGTGGAAATGCGGGGCCGTTCCCTGCTACGGTGTTGAATGTTGCGCCTTGGAAGATCACGGTTGGCGCAAGCACCATTGATCGGAAATTTCCTAGCTATTTAAAGATAGGGCACAAGACTTACGAGGTAATTATATATGTATCTTCCGATTCTCCCTTTCATGTTTATTATTCAGTGAAAATTTATTTAAAGGAGTAGTTGATGCGCAGGGACAAAGCCTTTCAAAAAAATCGCTTCCACCGCGAAAGTTGTTCCCGATAATTTATGCGAGATATGCGAATGCCGCCAACGCAACAGCGGAACAAGCGTAAGCCCCCTCAATTATAAAAAATAAAAAGGAATATAAAAAATAGAAGGAATAACGTGTTCGCTCCTATGGATCTACGTTGTATATGAGTCAAGTTGAGTTCGAATCCTTGATACTTAAGCTTGGAGCTCAACTCATTCACCAAAACTAATAAGTTAAACTCGAGTGTTAATGAGGTAAGCTTATGAGTGACTTTTTTTTATTTAATAACTCTAAATGAATCTAGCAATGTCCACCAGTTCCCATCTTCTGCCAAAAAATATATATATGACGATTTCTCCAATATTTACCTGTCTTTTGTAGGCACATTAAAATGTGCTTACCAGCTATGCGTCCATATCTCGTGATATTTAAATATTATATCCACTGTTTGGTATGCTAATCTCCCGTTATATCAGCTGGTGAATGTGTTAACTTATGTAAATATAAGCAGGAGGCATAGCGGAACTAAACATTGAAAAGAAAATGCTATAAAAATAAAAGTGAACAACTAATCCATACTTTCACAGGCCCAGCAAGCTCTTTAGTAAAGGGCCAGAAAAAATACACTTGTGAAGTGAAGATTGCTAGGGCCCAAAGAGAGTTATAAATCGGTCGGCCTGCTTATTACTTCGATTCATCTAGGATACTACACATGTTGAGGTCCTTTTCAATCTATAGAGGCCCTTTCTATTTATTTTTCAACTCTCCTTTCTCCATTTCGATGATATATGTGAACATGAGCCTTGATAGGTAGGTGAAAAGACGATTTTTGTACACCATAACAAAGGTTTTCCTCTATGATTTTAGTTGGACTGTTTCATGTAATTAAATTTTGTTTATAATTTATTTATTTTATATTATTGGTTTATTGATCATTCCGATTCAATAATGTAACTTTTAGAAGGCCCACAAATATAACACTTACAGAGCGAGTTTCGCACTCAAACCCCACTAAATACAACAACTCTTTGTAATATGGAAATTTAAAGAACATAAAATTGGTAAAAAAAAAAAAAAAANAAATTGGAAAAAAAAAAAAAAAGGTTAGGCAAATCTATAGTAAACTTGACTTGTTTATAAAGAGAAAATAATAAATGCCCACACTCGTCTCAAGTAATCTGTTTACAATATTACGTTCACCTTGATTCAAATAATGGATCTATTTGACTTGACTCAGAATAGTGAATCCACTGTAACTCGACTTAAATCTAATAATGGATCTAACTATGGGGTATCTAACCCATGGTTGACGAACAACGACAGTCTATATATATATATTCTTCATGACAATCCTACAACATATCACACATATTGCTTGAATCAAATTAATGAATTACCACCACCGTAATTAAATTGGCAATTATTGTCAAAAAAGAACCTTTTTTTAATGTTAACACACCTACATATTTTTTACTTAATAATATTGGTCAAAAGGAACCCAAAATTTAAACAAGTTAACAAAATCTAGGCGTTTCAAATTCATGATATTCATGCAAAAGTATTGATTTCTAAGTAATAAACTCTTCGTATTCCAAATTTGTAAAAACACCACCAAATAATAACACTGAATTTGTTCAGCTATTCAAGTTTTGTGACCAAAGTTATATTTCCAGTAAAAAAAAGTACTAGGGGTAGTCAAATTCAAGTGTTACAACTTACATGCATATATATTTAAGATAATAATTAAAAAGTATTGCTAAATTGAACAATGGTTTAAATGATTTGATTCTTGCGTGTTTTAAATTTAATAATTATTTTAATTGATTTGTTGGTATCAAGTTTTTAGAATGTTTTAGACATTTTTACAAAATATTAATAATAATAATAAATTTTAGATGTTTTTACTCATATTTTTGAAATTATATCATGCAACAATTAGAATGCTTTCTAGGTAATTGATAAAACACTTTAGGTAGATGTGTATATAGTAATTTGTATAAAATTTTTTGAATGTATAAGTTACTTTAATTTGTATATGAAGAATTTTTATGAAATATTATTTTAATGTGTAAGTCACTTTAATTTGTAGAGTTGATTTATAGACTACAAATTTAACATTAATACCTAGATACAATNATAAAAAATGTTTATGTAAAATTTACCCGATTTTTCTTTCAAACATTCAAACTTTAATCAACCAATTACATTGGACAATCAAGATAAAACAAAAGTTAGCATTTTTACGTACAACCGAGCTCAACACAACTAATTTTACCTCTTAAACCTAAGTAAGCAAAGTTAAGAGATAAGAGAACGGGTTTCAACTAATTATCATAAGTATTATAAATAACTGTAAGTTAAATATAAATAAATTGAGTATTCAAATGAAATTACTGAAATAATTAAGTCCATATCCATCAATAATTCAAATTTTGAAACATGTATGTTATTCAAGTTTAAATTTAATCTTTATAAATGAAATACATGTATATAATCATCCTGTTAATCTAATGTCCAATATATTTGAAATATAAAATGTGAAGACAAAAATACGGGATATCATATGTCTGGTCAAAAATGAAGTGAAGGAGAATAAAAACACCAGAGAATAAAAACGGATTATTGGTTATTTCGCATTTTATTTGTTGGATTAGGAGTGCATTTACGGTAATACCTCTTAAACGTAACTAAGCAAAACTAGGAAGATAATACTAAGGCTACTTCTTTACTTCCCTATCCATTCCCAAGAGCAATAGATATAAACTAGGAAGATAATACTAAGGCTACTTCTTTACTTCCCTATCCATTCCCAAGAGCAATAGATATAAAAATGTCTGAACACGTAACTAAGCAAAACTAGGAAGATAATACTAAGGCTACTTCTTTACTTCCCTATCCATTCCCAAGAGCAATAGATATAAAAATGTCTGAACTTTATTTTACTTCTTTTAACACTAATTAAGATGCACTTATCATTAAAAGTTATATAATAACATGTTTTTTTATTGATGTATTGAAAATTAGACAATGAAATATTATTCCAATTAAAACAATTATATATATTATACATTTACGTATTTATTAGATGAAAGGTGATGATTAAAGATTAGCATAGAATATTTGAGATGTTCTTAAACATATTTACAAAAATTATAAAACTTTACATCTTACTTACTCATATTATTCAAATAATAACATGCAATATTTAGAGTGCATTGGCACATGTTAATTGATAAAACATTCTATGTAAACAAATATTATGTGCTTTTATACAGGTCAGTTTTTAATTTGTATGCACAGGCGACATCACATTTAATTACTTAAATAGTATGAGTCCCATGTAGTGTACGGATAAGAGATATTCATTAATATTTATAAATTAATAATTTTTAGTAAGTAATATTTATAAATTAAAAATATGGAATCAGTATGTAATACAATTACCTATACTTATTTATTGAAAATATTATATAAAGTTTAAATTGTATAAAATTACATAAAAATGTCTATTTAAAATTAGTACACAACCCGTGTGGTGTACATAATTGATAATAAATTGCATTATATTCGTTTCAAAATAAGTATCATTTCAAAATTATTATTCAGAAATTCAATTCAACTATAATATGATTCCATAAAATAGTTATTTTGGTAAATGTTATCATATATTTAACAACCTATGTGAATATTGTATAAATATAAAATTTTATATTGTTTCATTACTTAAAATATATTTTTTTTGTATAAACTATTCAAATAAAAAAAATTAAATAGTTGAGTAATTTATTAAACTAAAAATAATTGACTATTTTGTTTACGCCAAAGTTAGTATTGACCCATAAGTTATTGAATAGTTAATTAAACTAATAAATAATTGTCTATTTCGTTTACGTCCAAGTTAATATTGACCTGTAAGTTATGAATAATTATTTTTTTATTTTAAATTTTAAATAAAAAACTTTTTATTTTTTAATTTATTATATATCAAATTTAAACCATGCAACTAGTAAAAGTAGTAGCTGCAAGTTTTGTCAATATATTATATTCCAAATTTAAATCATGCAACCATAGTTTTTAAACCCGGCCCGGTGATCGACCCGGGCAGGTCCTCGGGTCACCGGGTCACCGGTTCAACCGTCGGGTCACCGGGTCAATTGCTGAACCGGATAATTAATTTTAAAATTTTTAAAATTATATATATAGTATTTTTGTTATATAAATATACATAAAAGTAACAAAATTAAATGTTTTGTGTATAAAATTTATATATTAAAGTGTTAATAATATGTATCTCATGATAAATATTTACCATAAAAACATATATACATAGTTTTATTTTTACAAAATAAAAATAAAATAAAAAAAAATAAAAAATATATATGAACCGGGTCAATGCCCCGGGTCGACCGGGTCCTTGGTTGCCCGGTCCAAATACTCCACCCGGACCGGTTCCAGCTCCGAGTCGACCGGGTCCCGGGTCGACCCGCCGGGCCGGTCCGGGTTACAAAACAGTGCATGCAACTAATAAAGGTAATAGCCGCAATATTTGACCAAAATGATTCTGTACATTAATTTAGGCGGGATTTTTCAAATTTTTGCCAAAAAATTTACTCAACATAGTAAATACTTTAGGCGGGAAACTAAATGTTTTTTTTTTTTTTTTGCTGATTTTTAGTTGCTATTTCAAGTAAATATCATTGCATCTTTATATATTAATAGATGGACTAATTCTTATTGCGATAATTGGCATGATTTTGGGCAGGAAATTTTTTCGTCTATATTTGGCATTTAATTAATATTATTTATTAGCAAATCTTATGCATGAAAAACATATTTAATTTTTATACACTCAATGACTATTACTCATTAACTACAAATTGGCTTAAATTGAAATTGTGATCGTAGATTTATTAGATATATTTTCAATAAGATTCAATATTAATTAATAGTAATTTATCGACGCAATTCAAAAAATTATTATGGAAATTGATCTGATTAAATATATTATTATCTATAGTTGTAGGTACTACTTTAAAGTGTATATGTGACACAGTTATTCGATGATAAAGTGTATAATTAATAAACTGCGAAAACGAAGATAATTAATAAACTGCGAAACAGTTATGTGAAATAAAGTGTGAAACAATTATGTGATATGTGACACAGTTATTCGATGATAAAGTGTGACGCTATGCGACATATAGACGAAGATAATTAATAAACTGCGAAACAGTTATGTGATATGTGACACGCAGGAGAAAATAAATGAAGAAACAATTATGTGAAGATAATTAATAAACTGCGAAACAGTTATTCGATAAAGTGTGAAACAATTATGTGATATGTGACACGCAGGAGAAAAAAAATGAAGAAACAATTATGTGATACCCTATGCGACATATAGACGAAGATAATTAATAAACTGCGAAACAGTTATTCGATA